TTAGTGACGGTTCTTTTGTGACTGATGCCCATCATGAAAGAAGACTGGCGACATACCATTCGGCATTGGGGTATTTTCTCATAGCACTTCGGACGTAGTCAACTTTTTCCCAGCTTTCTCGCCATTCGTGGGCATACTTCTTTCTAGTCTTCATGTCGACGATTTCGAGGTCATAGCCCCATCTTGTAGCATATTTTCGCTTATTTCGTACGCTGTCCCGCTCGATTGCCCACTCTCGGGCACCTTTCCATTCCATGACACCTCCTCCCACGTTCGCTGCAAGGATGATGACGAATTTTGAGCCGCCTCCACCCCAACTTGCTCTTCGATACCAGTAGACAAGAGCTACGCAAATCTGGTGTCAGACATCGTCCGACTCAAACTTTGGTCGCATCCCAAACGGCGCGGAGATACGGAGCACTTACGAGAATGGTAGAAGACGTATAAGCAAAGTAGCAAAGCAAGGACAATAAGAAGTCTGATCTTCAGCTTTCGACCCATGCGACCAGAGATTGATCGTATTCTTCCAATCAGTGGTATATTCTGACCACGGAAAGGCTTGTCCTTGTCGCCATATCGGGGAATTGTATTATTCGAGTTGTACCGCGGAAGGTTGCTTGAAATGCGTCGCAAGTGGCGAGCAAAGAAGCCCGAACTATTTGTTGCGAAGGACGGGTAACCGTTGGCACCGAGGTGTCGCATTTTTGCAGATTCCCAATGTACCAAGCCGGAAGGGGGAGCATTGGCTGGGCTTGACCTGCCACTGTTGATATTCAGGCCGGGGCTCGACCAGCCACCACCGGGGACTGGTGATGGGCTACGCGATAGGGACATTGGAGTAGCAGGTGTACCTAAGCACGACATGAGGCGTTAGTGTGTCTGACGGTGGAGCGAGTTGTGCAATCGCGTATGACTTCGGCATGTAACCTGCAGGACCGTGGTGTCACAGGGGTGAAGGTGATGAACCACCAGACGGCACAATATGGCCAGAACGTACCAAGGATGGGCGAGAGAGGTGCTTTGTTTGCAAGCGCAGGGCGAATCTCAAGAAAATTGCTGGATTTCTGCTCGCTCAGAGTATGGGCTCCGGCCGAGGAGCGTCGTCGGTGGTGGGACGGCACAGGCCGGTCGTTGACGGAGCTCGAGGAGCCGGCGGTCAGCTTTGAAGAAGCCAGTTTGAATGTTTGGCCGTCGCTGTCGAGTATGAGGCTTGCTAGGCGCGACCAGTCATCCGCAAGGCCGCCGGCTGGGATGAAGATAGTGAGCGGAGCACGATGCCTCAGCTAAATTCAACGGGGGATGCGCAACTCTGGTTTCGCGGGAATCGGATCGGCTTTCTGGGACTGAAATGGTGCCTCGTAGAGGAGAAGAGTAGAGCGCGCGACGCACGAGAAGCCACCGTGGCTCCTGTGTCCCTTGTTCCCAAAGGGGGTACTGCGTACCGTTAATATCGTTTTGAGACGGGAAGTAATAAGTAATATCAACTCGCACGCAGAGAGGGAGAAAAGAGAGGGAGGAGACTGGAAGTGTTGGCGACGAGGCGCGCAGACCACTCACCAGTTGATCTTGACACGAACCAAAAGAGAGGTGCCAGAGCACAGCCGTTACTTGCAAGAATCCGGGACTTTAAAAAAAAAAAAAGAAATTCAGCGATGCTGCAGAGAGTAGACAGCTAATCAAGGCTAGGTAGCACAAGAAGTGTCGCTCTGGCTTTTCGTTACGCAAGACTCGAGTGAGATGAGGCTTGGCCGAGAAGTGGCTTGGGTTGCAGGTACTAGCACCGCAATAGCATGGCAAACGGGCTCATTGGTTTGCAGGAGAAGGGCTGAAAAGGCGCTGTAGAACTCTCAGTCTCGTATCTGCAACTTTCTGACAGCCTTGACTGAAGCGTTACCCCGAGCTTAGTGTTTTTTGTTGACGAGTTTTGGCCGAGCACTTGAGCGCACCGGGCACGGAAAATCGGCCGCAAACAGGCAAACAGGCTAGGGCGGCAAGTACCCCCACGTACCTGCTGTTAGGATGTGCGGCAGGGAGGCACACAAGTACTGGGTACTCGCACAACAGGTGAGACCATCCCATCTCTGTGCTCTTGTGCTCCACGTCCGTACTGGAGTAGTTCCATGTCTCCTCATCTTATTCTTGTTATTATTACTAAGACCTAGGCAAGTACTAACTTAGCATTGTGCCACTGAGGCCACCAGCAGAGATAAGAAGTCGCACGCAATCTTGGTGGCCGTCCCCAACAACAAGAGGGCCAAAACATAAACTCGACGTGTTTGCGCGCGACGCAAAAGAATTTGCTGGGCGCCCGAGCAAGCAAACGACAGGGTCTGCAGATTGCGGCGGCGGGGGCGTCATTGACGTGCTCCGTAATATTTTATCAGGTCTGGTACTCAAGTATGGACTAGTTATTAGTTACCTACCAGGCAACTAATAATATGTACGGAGTAGTGACTCCGTACCAATGCATACAGTCCTTCTCCCGACTACAAGGCACAACAAGCTGGCCCAGGAGCGAGCGAGCACTCGAGGGAGCATGCCGTCAACTCATGCAAAAGCTGGTCAATTTAGGTTCCGGCGCATTGCTAGGCTTTGCTCAGGGGCGTGAATTTGACTTTCTCGGCATTTTCCTTCATCTATCGCAAAAGTTCTGGCTGGGTGCCCCGTAATTTGAGGTCAGTCTTGGCGCAGCCGCCAATCACCAGCTTCGCAGTGGTCAATGGCTGCATGTAGCGAGGAATCAATGCTAGCAGGACCGACCAGTTGACCTTTAGCAGGTGCTCTTAGTGGTTGCCCTACTAACTATTAGTTTCCTACTAGTGCTGTCTAGCCCTTCTGCTTGCCTTGCCTTCCTCTTTCAACGTTACATCTTCTGCCGCCTTGCTCTGTCTTGATGCTATTACGGCTTGTGCTTGTGCAGTTGCAGTCGCGCACATACAATACGACACCATCGCACACTGCATTTTTTATTCCTCTGGCCGACGTGTTATCCGCTCCCAAAGCGGATGAACCTAGGCACGACAACTTTCCCCTAGCCCGCATGCAAACGGAGGAGTACTCCGCCCTATTATGGCCAGTGCGCGCCCAGCTCTGGTGGCAGAACAGAAAAAAGAGAAAAGGGGGAGGGAATCAGACTCAATGGCCAGGCCATCAGAGGATGGTGTCACTTTGTCATTGAACGAGAGGAGAGCCTTGATGACATGCCGAGCCCATTCGTTCGGACGTGGGGAGACCAGGCAGGTTGTGGATAGCCAATTCCAGCTATCGTGGGCACTTCGGCCATTTGGCTACAAGACATCTGCCAAGACTAAAGGACTATCGGTCCCGTTATTGCAGGGAGTCAAGCAATTGGCTAATAACAATTAACTAATTCTTGGCGAATCGGCACATCTCTGGCAGGCCACTGGAGCAGTAATAAATAGTATAACAATATGTACTATAATGATCACAAGCCAGCATCTCCTCCTGGTCAATGGAGAGTGGTAGAATCCATCATAGCAAACTGCTACAATGCTTCTCCAGTGTAGTTGAATCGTTCATGGTTCATGTTGTTGGATCTGCTCTGGAGCATCCTTCTGGGCCGGAGCGCGCTGTGTTGATTGCCCGGCTTGGCAATCAAGAGACAAGACCAATGTTGAACTCCAGAGCCAGGGCTTGCAAGATTGTAGAATCCGCGTCCTCCAAATACCAAATTTGCGCCAGACGTAGTGGGTTCGGTCAATGGCAAATAGGTTGCTCCCATGGTCTGCGCTGATCTGACGTCCCGATTGTGCATGGAACAGAAGCTTTTCTGTATGTATGTTGGGTGGTTCCGCCGTTTTGTTGGCCTCGGATGTCCGTGAGTTTTTGCATTCGTCTGACTGGATCGAACGGTAGCCTCGTCTCTTGACGTTCGTCCTTGGACCCGGCTGCCTGATCGCAATTCATATATATATGTACTGGTCACGCGAAGCAGTCCGGTTGGAAGATTGGGTTGAACAAGCAAAGGAGTCTGTACGAAACCGAAAAAAGTACCTGACGCCGAAGAATAACAATAATAGTAAAAAAATGGATAAATAAATAAAAATAGTACCAGGCCCAATCAGAGGGCTACACATTGGACCATGAGTCCATGACCACCGGGTCTAGATCCTCATGAACCGCACGTATGGCAAGTCCAGGGTAGCACGACTTGTCGTATTCACTGGAAAACAGAAGCTGGGGAACAACAATACTACCACTGGACGGACCCCTGCGACACCCAACCAATTAAAAATCCCCGTCACAACGGCGCATAGCGACAACCAATTGAATCACAATGTTGCCCAGAACAAGCGCCGTCATCAGACTAGCATCTCAACTTCCAACCATCCAAATCCACGAGGCGACACTTAGACGCCGACGTCGACGCGGGAGCAGATGCGCCATAATGGAGCCCTCGCTTTATTTAGCATACGGCCATGAAACCTGAAAATAGGTGCATCATAACAAAATGAACCACATTGCGCCGTGTTTCTGGCCACCCTGATGCGGCCGCCGAGGTTGGGCTGCGACAGTGCCAGGTTCGCCGTGGTCCTATTGTCGCGTGATTTATTCTTTCTCCCATCTAGAATCGTACTTCTCATGCCTCTTGTCCATTCAAATTTCGTGCCTAGGCATTGTTTCGTCTTTGTTTAGAGCCGTTGGCTCTAATGGTCTTTCGCTATTGTCTTTGTCTCTCATTTTCTCAACTACCCTCTCATTCTCGATTCTACATTTTCCAAGTTTTCGTTTTACCCTCCAGCGTCGAGTTAGTTACCCATCGTTCGTTCCACTCATTGATTCTTGCGGCGGTATTTGAATGTTGAGAGTATCGTCCAGTTACTTTGTTGACCTGCGTTTGTGAACCACATCCCTTTGTCGACCTGCAATTTGGTCACGACTCTTTCCCAAGTGACCGTCCAGTTGTCATTGAGATATTCATCCGCGATACAACAGCCTTTGTCGACCGTACACGCTGAATACGAAAATAGAAAAACGTCATGACTCCACCACCTGAATACCACAATGGACAACTGGCTCCCACAAACAACACAAAAGCAGTGGAAGAGTGGGAAGAGTGGGAAGATGACGATGTCATCACTCCAATAGACGCAGGAGAACAGGTTCAAATCTGCCTGCCTGCCAACGCACCGCCACCGCCATCAAACAGGAATACAAAATCTGCGAATCTGAGGGCGTCCAGGCTAGCAACGCCCAAAGTGCGAAGAATTAGATCACGCCAAAGGCAAAAGGCTCAAAATGCCAAAGCTGGAATCCACCTCATCACTGACATGTCGGTTTTCCGCCGCAATAATCATGCCACGAACAACATGCGCAGTCCGCCAGGCCGAAAAGGAAAGTTTGTCGACGCCGCTGCCCTGAGAGCCCTGGAAGGGGAACCTAGTTCAGCATCAGTCGGGAACTGGAACTGGTTGAAGAAGGGAAGTGGGAAGACTCCTGAGCCAGCGATAGAAATACGGAAAGATCGAAATAAGGACCAGCAGTTGTCACCAGAGGACAGGCCCATCGTCATTGGAATCTCGCTGGAATCGTCAGATGTGGAAGGGCAGGAGATTAGCCCTCAAACTGCGCTGACTGACGACTCGAGAGCTCCGTTTCCTGCGCCCGAGCTGAACAATCACCATGCCCCCCAAGCGGCCAAGGTTGGAGTTCAGGGACACAAATCCGTCTGGTCCCCTGATACGCCAAACACCTCATACTCGTTTGGATCGAACAATGTGGCATCTAGCCTGTACTCGCAATTCATCATGCCAAATCAGACTCCCAAAGAACAGGCCCGCCCCCCGGTTCCGGCACTGCCTTCGAATTACAAGAAGGCCGCGCACCAAAGGGTTTCGAGCCTTGACCTAGGGAAAAGTCGACAAGGGGATGATGAAAGTGGCACACCATGCACTCTCTTCGAAGAAGATGGGGTTCCAAGCCCACAGAGGCAACCCAAGTCCAAGGAATTTGGTGCCAGCCCTGATAGTGCCAGTTCAAGATCACACGGTTGGTGGGATCATGTCGTTACACCCTTTGTTGACAAGAAAATGTCCTTTTCAAGTCGAAAGTACAAAGCTGAATCTCCAAAGTCACCCAAATCCCCCAAGTTTCACAAAGAAATGTCCAGGGATGGGTCATGGGAAAACCTCGATGTCAAGGAAGAGTCTCGATCAAGACCATCTCCAAACGTTGCTCCGGCACCAGTAAAAGCACCGATTGTTCGAACACCAACACCACGCCGAACATCACCACCACAGTCTGATACAATACATGCAGAGAACCCTCAAAGTCTCTTGACAAAGACACAAATGTCTGCTGCAGGGCCGAGCATGAGACAGACACCGCGAATTGTCATTAGTCGCGACAGCCCATGCCCATCAGATATTCCACCACCTTACTCACCACCCAAGAAGAAGCAAGATGGCAAGCCCATTAGATATCGAGCCGTCTTCCCACCTGGACACCCGCTCCATTCTCAATTTCCTCCTACCCCGAGACCGGCTTCTCCGGGGCTAGCCGGCACAATGACTTCCCAGAGAGGACACCAAAAAGAGAACCTGAACCACGCCTCTGCTGTGCCCACGACGCAAACACAGCCGATTACTACTGAGCCCCTTCCCGTGCGAGCAGTGGGGACATTCGTGACTCAAGAACACGCATACTCTGCCGCAGGCAGCGGACACAAAGTCGAGCGGCGGCGGCGGCGACATGAAAAAGAGGATATCATTGCTCGCCGCGCCGGTGGATTCTGGAGAGGACGTGGCTGCATCTCGTCAAGGGGCTGTTTCGGACGCACGGGTCGTGAAGGCCGCAAGAGAAGACGGGTCTGGATGGCAATCTGGGCCGGCGTCGTTGCCTTGATCCTTCTCATCATCTTGTTGGCAGTGCTGCTCACACGCAACCACACCCCAGCAGAGGCACCGTCTATCTGGGTCAACTTGACGGACTTCCCGCCCATGCCCACAGGAGTCTTGACTGTTGTGGGACCGGATAATACCGCTGCTAGATCTGTTTGTACTGAACCATCTACGCTCTGGAGCTGCTCTCTACCCAAGGATCAACAATCATCTGTTTTGCCATATAAAGCAAACCAGCCAACGCTGATTATGCAAATCCAATGGGACAACGGAACTCGTCGGTCGTGGAACGTTGCCAACGGAGATGCACCTGCACCTTTATCGCGCAGAGCATTCGGAGCAGCATCTCATGCCCTGAGTGTCGTAAGGCGTGATCCAGCACCAGCCGAGTTCTCTCCCAATCCCGCGGCTCCAAAGTTCAGAGAAGTGTGGTTCCTCGGCGAGACAACTGACAACATAAAGTCGGACCAGAAAGGCGGCGAGCCAGCACCCTTCTACATCAGCCTCCTCAGGTCGACAAACGACACTGTGCCGACACCAAGTGTCTCCCGCAGAGGAGTCAGTCCCAATATTGGCAACACGACGTTCAAAAATCTCATCCCGCCTCCAGACTTGGAAAAGGACGGCACGTCCGCCCCGGCAGTCATGATTCCCAACCCCGTCCAGCAGCCTATCCGTCTCTTTGACCGTGGCCTAGCCACCGAACACTACGGCTTCTACACATACTTCAAGCGCACCATCTTTCTCAAATCAGTCAACATCCAGAACAGCACGGACGACAATATCCCGCTGGATGAGGACGGTGGATGCCGCAAAACAGAAGCCTCTCATCTCGTGACGTGGGGCGACACCCGGCTTCACGTGCAGATTTGGACGCGAGCGCTGTCAAGCAATACGTCCTCGTTGCTCAAACCGGATGGCAGTAAAGGAATTGGCGGCACAGGTGAGCTCGTTCGGCCTGGGACCATGCCGTACCCCGTGACTATTACGCAGGACACGCATGGCGGAGATCCGGATAAGAAGCTCGTCTGGGATCGTCCCATTGACGATCGACTGCAGGTTGCGACGACGGAGGCGCAGGCGCTAGTCAATGACATGGGGAATGGGGGAACGTGGGTCAATAAGAGGGGGACTGGGGATGCCAAGTTTGGAGGGTTTGATGGAGGCAGCGGAGGATGTAAGTGCGAGTGGGTGAATTGGGTGTAACTTTGGATCAATGCTAAATATCAGTTGCTTGGAAAGTGATGATATGTACAACGTTGTTATGATGGAGCACGTGACGTACCGGTTTGTAAGATGAGGTGGATGGGTGGGAGGTGGGCGTTGGGGGGATCTACTGCGCTCCAAATCTAAGTTGCAATTACGTACAGCCGTCTCTTTTAAAAGCATTCATCAGTTGATAACTTAATTAATACAATTTCCAAAATTGTACATGTACACAGCCACTAATAGGAAAATTGCTTTGATTCAAGCCGAGTTCCCCACCACGGCCCGAACAGCTGCCACTCTGAAAAGGTGGGGGGAGCTTAACAACCTCGTCGATTTCAAAAACCACACAACTTCTCAATTAGCACCACCAGTTTTAACCACCCTCTCCAACTCGCCATCAACCAATGCTCCTCCTCCTCCGTCCACGATGTCGCTCTCCCCAGTCTCTGCTTCCACGTCACAGCAAACACCACCCTAATAGAAGTCGCCTCCAGAAGCGAACCCTGCTCAGCCTCGCCATCGAATCGTCATGCGATGACACGGCCGTCGCCGTCCTCTCGCATGCACCGCCCTCCACAACGCTTCTCTTCAACGAGCGCATCTCCTCCGATAACCGCGCCTTCAAGGGCGTGCACCCCGTCATAAGCGTCCAAGGCCACAACTCGTCCCTCGCGCCGCTCGTCCAGAAGGCGCTCCAGTACCTCCCCGATGCCTCGCCCTCCACCCCATCCATACGGATCCCCTCCGACGACGGGGCGCTCCTGATGAAGCAACGGCCAGACTTTGTGTCCGTGACAAGGGGGCCCGGGATCATGGCCAATCTAGCCGTGGGATTGAACATGGCCAAGGGCCTGGCAGTCGGATGGGACGTGCCGCTCGTGGCGGTCCATCACATGCAGGCTCATGCCATGACGCCCCGGCTCGTGAGGGCGTTGGAGACCGACGCCGGGGGGTGCAGGGACAGTCGCGGCCCCGAATTCCCGTTTTTGTCGCTCCTCGTTTCCGGCGGGCACACGCAGCTCGTCCACTCGACGGGACTGACGGGGCACCGCATCGTCGCGACGACGGGGGACATCGCCATCGGCAACCTCCTCGACCAGACCGCCCGCGTCATCCTCCCCGCCCATGTCCTCCACGCCAGCCCAGACGTCATGTACGGCCGGCTCCTCGAGTCGTTCGCCTTCCCCAACAGCCCGCCCCACGAGCAATACTCCTTCTTCGAACCGGCTGCGTCCCGCTCCGACGAGATCGACACCCTCCCTACAGGATACGCCTGGGACATCCCGCTTCCCTTCCGCAACACACGCCGCCTCGCATACTCCTTCTCCAGCATCCACACGCGGGTCCATCGCATCGCCGCCTCCAATCCCACCATGTCTCTCGACGAGCGCCGCTCCTTGGCCAGGCACACCATGCGCGCTGCCTTCCAGCACCTGTGTTCACGGCTTGTCGTCGCTCTTGAAGACAGACCCGAGCTGCGACCAGCTGCAAGGACAATCGTCGTCTCGGGCGGCGTTGCTTCAAACAAGTTCCTGATGCATGTTTTGAAAGAAACCCTTCGCGTCAGGGGGTATCCGGACACGGAAATCATAGCCCCGCCGGTCAAGTTCTGCACGGATAATGCCGCCATGATTGCGTGGACGGGGATGGAGATGTTTGAGAGGGGGTGGTGTTCGGATTTGGGTGTCTTGCCGGTGGGAAAGTGGCCCATGGAGATGGACGGTGGTGACGGAGATGGGATATTGGGTGTCGGGGGTTGGATAAAGAAGGGGGGCACACAGTAATGACGAAAACGGGTGACAGGTTTAGTGAGACGGTGCATCATCTGTATTATATATCTGGTCTCCAGGTGCAGACGGGAGCTGGACTCTACATGCATGTACGATATACAGGACCAGGAAGCAAACGCGTTAAGACGTTTCTGTAGTGTGTATGATAATTGTGTGAATCGCCACCACATACATATACACACACACACACACATGACACACACAAGTTCAATGTGCACTCGGGTTCAAAAACAATGTAAACACAATGAAATAAGTCTCTGCTTATCTTCTTGTACAAGTTACATTGCCGGCAAAGACAGCTGCAACCCTACCCATCTGCCGGCTCTCTCTCCACCAAGCCGTCCACACTCATCTAGTCCAACTCGCTCGTGACATTGCTAAACTCTCCCTTCTCCAACTTGGTCTTCCAGAACACTGGGTTCGTATCCGTGAAGCCGTGCTTCACCCAGCCTTCCTCCTTGACATGGTACAAGTTGATGAAGCCGCCAGAGTAGGCATCGCGATGCGTAGCCGCCAAGATGCTTCGCCTACCAAGCTCCAGGGCATCCTCAACGCTCAAGTCATAGTTGTACTCGGCGTCGAGAACACCATACGCAAATGTCTGGCCGGACCCGACGCAGAACAAGTTCCCCGCGAGCCGGGTACCGTCGCTGTCGACGTAGTACAGCGCGGGGCCCTCCTCCTTGGTCACGCCAGCGCACATGGTGCCCATGCTGAGTCCCATGCCCTTGTAGCTGTAGACCAGGTTGGCGAGGATCTTGCTGGCGGCCGCGACGCTGATGCGGCGTTTGTGTCGCAGCTCGTGGAGGCGGCACTGCATGCCGAGCCAGGCCAGCCAGTACTGGCAGGCGGCCGCAACCC